GCCTCTTCCAGTGCTGGACAACCCTTTCGGTGAGGATTTTTCTTCCTAAATCCCAATCTAAACCTCCCCTGGAACAACTTGGGGTCGTTTCCTCTCGACCTGTGGATGATGGAGCAGTGACTGTGGAAAGGCATCGGCACTCTCCTGGGGAGGGTTTTCCTTGCGTTAGACACCTTGATTCACTACAAAGTCATGGATTGGGTTTGGGGGATTTATTTGCTTGTTTCTTTATTCCGCATTGAGCACAGCTCGTCATTTTGCAAAGGCCGTGGTGCTGAGTGACCCCGGCACTGGCCGGCAGGAGGGCTCACTGCCGGAGCTGTTCTCCTGTGTCTGCAGCTCTGCATTAAGAATTAATTGCAGCTAAGCCAGTCAGCATCAACCTCGCTGGAGAAAGGGAGAACATGGACCATGTCCTGTACCTTGTGGAGAGGGGGTTGTCCTGTTGATTCCGTTTCATGTCCAGCGGAAAAGCCAAGCGGCTCCTGGGGAGGGGCTGAGGTCTCCGAGGATTCAGGATTCACTCGGCAAGTGAATTCATGTGGAGGGACCTGGGCTTAGGGAGGAATCAGGTTCATTGCCTTTAATGAGCCCAAAACAGACATGTGGAAATCTAACCCTCAATAACCCCAGTTAAATCGATGTCACATGGCCTATTAATCTTCATTTTCACATTTAATAAAATAACCCAAGGCCCTTCTTGCTACATGAAATACACTTGAAAAATTGATCACAGCACATCAGAACCAGGAGCCAAAAAGCTTCAGGCTGCTCCCGTCTTCAATAGTAAATGAACATGAGCGCTGACAATTTCAGGAACTGTGCAGCCAAAAAGTCTTTTTGAGCTTTTTTTTGGTTTGTATGCCCTGGGAGGAGAGCAAGGGGAACCTCAGGCCCTGATGAATTTTTGTACCTGCTGAGCGTGTTCCTCTTTAGAAGTCTCCTCTGGTGAGCAGGTCCAACTGACAGTGACTTACTCGGGGGATTTAAGGGTGTGGATATGGTCTGAAATGGAAGGATTGAAAGGCAACCAAGGACCCCACGTAGGTGAGGACAGGTAACTCCTCAGATTGTCTCTGTATCCCAACTGAACAGTGTGCTCAGGTCACAGCAGGAGTTCATCTCGTGCTTTAATAAGACCTGGCGTGGGCACGAAGCTGCTTGTTTTATAGTAAGATTTGAAGTGAGTCCTTTTGCGAAGGACTGACAAGAAGGATGGAACAAGGAACGCGGTGGCCAGATTGTATAGAATGTGAGAAGAAACAGGCACGTGGCAGGTTTGGCCTGGTGTGTTTCCCAAAACAGCCACACTTGTGCCTCTGAAGCGTGTGAGTAAAGCCAGAGAAAGCATTCATGCATTATGTAGTATTTTCAAAGTGTGGAGGATGCTTAGACACCTCCACGCTGGAAATTACTGAGAGCTTACTGGCAGCGTTCTCGTGTGTGCTGTTTTTCCACCCACCTCCTCCACGGAAGAAGGTAGGAATATGAAAGCTCAGCAGAGCTGGCTTGTGCAGCCCATGTAGAGCTGGTATCAGACCATCCTTATTTCCCCGGCGTCATGGCACACAGCAGAGAGCTTGGCCCACGTGTCTGGTTGGAGATGAGGAAGGGGACATGAAGCACATGTGCCACAGCTCTCCTTGGCGCTGTGCTGGGGCAAGAGCCTGTGTCGTGCTGTCCCCGAATAACCGTTGTTTGCTTCTGCTAAAAATAACGTGCTCTCTCTTGTTCTTATGCCCTTCACATAACGTAGGTGAGCAAGGCACGGGAGCCCAGGTGCAGAAGAAGCCTGCATGCGTGTTACTCTCTAGACTAGCTGAGCTGGAGGCAAGGACGACACTCTTTGTGCTTCACTTATGTAGCATTTTTTCCCTCCAGCTCTTAAAATTCATGTGTTTCTGCAGGAGAAACAGGTGGTAGTCGCAGCCCTTCCTCCCTCTGGAGTGGGCTCCTTGCCCAGAACGAAGCAGGTTGTTTCCAAAATGTGCAGCATTAATAGTACAAAGCGCAGTAAATCTTCAAATACCCTGATACTGTAAGGTGTCCTGTATTTTGGGGGTCCAGTACTCTGAGCTTGATATCCTGTATCCTGAAATGACTGTGTGCATCCTTTGTACATAATTCATACAGGTTCCTTGTTCCTTAGTCTTCAGCGTGTGGTGGTCTTATCCTGCTTGAGCCCTCCCAGTTGCCTTGATGGTGAGACCCAGGGCCCTGATCAGAGACTCAGAGCTGGTTTGATTCTGTTTTTGTGTACCGTTGGTGATTTAGGTGCACGAGCAGATTGCTCAGCCCAGCCAGGAGAGCGAGCAGCGCTGGCATCGGTATCTTGGCTGCGGGATGCGGCAGTGCCCCAGCCTGAGGATCCAGCCAGGACTCCTGTTGCTATAAACAGGAGCAGGGGTGCCTGCAGAGCGGCTGGGATTAATCTCTGTGGCAGCTGGGAGGCAGGAGTCTGTAACCCCGAGCAGGGCTTGGGAGGAGGAGGCAGGAGCACCACCAAGCAGAGCTGACCAGGAGCCCTGAGTCAGAGCGCGGAGGGGAGGGATGACAGAATTTCACGCTCGGGGCTTCTGGCGCGGATCTGCGGAGCCACCCGCCCTGTGCAGGCAGGTCTCGTGGCTGCGTTTCAGGCCACAGCGATTCACATGGCTTGGCGGATTCAGGGCACTTGCCTTGTTGGACAAGGGCTGAACACAGGTATCCTCGGCTCCTCTTCCCCTCCCCACGGGCACCTCGCCTTGGCTGCCTTGAGGGGTGCTGATGTCTGGTGCCCCCTCCCCAGGAAGGGAGCGATGGGCCGTTGCTTGGCCGGGCAGCGCAGTGACGGATGCGTCGAAAATGCGCCGCTGTATTTTTGCGGGACACGTGATGCGTTGTGCACCTTCCTACCAAACCTGATGTGATCTCCATGGAGCTCAGCACAGGAATTAAGTTCCTTTCTGTTTTCTCTTCGGTGCCTGACAAACAGTGCATCATTTTTGGTGGAATATGTCGTTGCAGAGCTCAGCCCAGCTGCTGGTCCCCTGGGAGAGAGGGAGGGTGCTGGAACGGATGCTCTGTCGCGGGCGCTGATCTCAGCCCTGCCTGGCGCTGGTTTTGTTGTAGCCGGTCTGCTGGGTGGAATAAGCACATAGTCCTTGTCCCCCATCCTGCGGCAAGCATCAGTGATGCTACTGTAGCGTCGCACTAATTTATGGCCCTTGATGGCGGTTGCAGGGGATCAGGAGTGGACGGCCTTGTGCCAGCCAGGTTCCCCTTCTCTCCTCCTCTCCTTCCCGGCAGCGTTGCGATTGCAGCCGTTCGCCCAGTCCTCTGTGATGAGGGAAGCGAGCCTTTCCCAGCCGTTCTCCTGTGGTCAGCTTGGAGCAAGAACATTTATTTCCTAGCCCTTGAGCAGATGACTGCGTCCTTTGTGCTGTGGAATCTCTTCCCATTCCAGCTGCTCAGGATCATCCAGTTCTTTCTGCATCTTGTCCCTGTCCTCCCCTCTGTTGACGCTGCCTCCCAACTTTCAACCTCATGAGCATTCCCCCGGTGCCTGTGCCGCTTTGCTGAAATGCCGAAATGCATCTCAAGGCTGATCCTTGAGGAAGTCTCGCAGGGATTTCTCTCCTAGCTATATACTGCTTTTTAGTGCTACCCTTTATCTCTGCTTTAGCCAGTTCCTTAGCTAGCCTGGTTTTCTAAATTAAGTAACAGTTTCCTGGGGATGTTGTTCTCTAGGGGCTCCAGACCCTGCTGGTCACAAAATATATCAGTTTGTTCCTTAAAAGTCTATCAGGTTGCTCCTTAAAATAGGCAATGATATCTCAAGGAGATTTAGAGTCTTTTAGCCCCTGTTGTCCGCTTTCTGCTTCGCAGTCGTTCCAGTGAAGGTGCCTGGCTGGCTCCAGGCCCTGAAGGACGAGGTTGTGCTCTGTGAGGGAGAGGAGTCCGTGTTCTGACATACCCGTTGTCTGGAGCACAGCCTGTCTGTCTGTCTTGCAGCAGCGGTTGAACCCGGAGCCTCTGTGCACAAGTTCGTTAGGCTTAATGAAATAAGAGGCAAGACCATGACACGTGCTGAATTTTATGCTTCACCTTGGGTGTCCTCTTTGTATCTCTCAGGTAGGATCTTATTTTGAGACTGTTTCACAGCAAGAGCTTGTCTTTCTGTTAGCCTTTCTTTGCATACAGCGTGTGAAAAGACTGCGAAACCAAATGGGATGCCGAAGGAGGCTGCAGCAGGATCAGGCTTGGTTTCCTTTTTGAAAAGCAGTGCCGGCTTTATTGCTCTTCTAGTCAGGAATCCAGCCAGGACCACAACTTGCTTCAGAGCTTCTGCTGCTTGGCTCTGCTGCCTCCCACGCAGCGGGGGAGTGTGTGTGGGGGGAGACTGCTTGTATAGCTGCACACTGCGAGAAGGGTAACTGCAGTGAGTCCTCTGTGAGCTCTCTGGATAACTCTTTTCTTTTGACATTCAAGGATTCTCCTTGCAAATCCATTCTTGGCTGAAAGAAGAGATTCTTATAGTATTTGAGTTTTCTTGAACACTCTGATCTCTTCTGCTGAATCTAAAAGTGTGCTGTTCCTGTAGCACATGCTCCCTTAGAGACATATGTCCAAGAACTGACTTCAGGTTGTGTTTCAAGCCCTGGCATGTCATTGTCCCTCTATCCAAGGAGTTCCCAGCAGCATCACAAATGTAGGTTTCGACCTGTAGCACAAATTGAGTTGGGATTCCCCACACCTCAGTGCAGATCAGGCGAGTTCAGCTCACGTGGGTGAACCAGATTTATTTTGACCCAGGGAGTCGCAGCATCACCAAAAGCAGACCCATAGCCTCCCAGCTCAGCCCAGAGCCAGAGCAGCCCAGCGTCACACTCGGTGCTCTGTTGAGCGTGTTTTCTCCTATTCTTACATTTGCAATGTATTTCCCCTGCAGCTTCCTTGAAATGATGGAAGCCCGAAGTCGCGGCCACGCGTCACCACTAACAACTAACGGGCAAAGCCCTTCCTCTGGCTCCCAGTCGCCCATCGTACCTCCGAGCTCCACGTCGACGGGCAGCTCCAGCCCTGGCACCCCGCAGCCGCCCCAGCCGCTCTCCACAAGCTCCACCATCTCTCCTGAACCTCCCCCGCCTTTCTCACCAGTGCCTGCACCTGAGGCCCAGCAGCCGCACGCTCCTCCGCCAGCCACAGCCTCCCCAGCACCTCCGGCTGCAGCCCCGCCGCCGAAGCGCAGCATCATTTCACGTCTGTTCGGGACGTCTCCCGCGCCAGACCCCTCTCCTCCCCAGCCAGGTAGGTGCTGGAGCGCAGTGTCTACAAAGGCTGTTGTCACCCGTGGGTGTTTCTGTGTTATCCTTTATTTCTCCCGCACAAGAGGCTGGGCAGGCAGGTGTCTGAAGACCACAGGCCCAGAGTGTGTGTGCAGTGTGTTTCCAAGGAGAGCTGCACTGTCACTCCCTATTTTCTTCCTCATTAGCAGTTGGGTTTGTCTCTGTGCTGAGCTTGGGTGGGTACCATGTCCAGCCAGCCGGGTGGCACGCTTCAGAAGGAAGGTACCGAACGCCCAGGGGACACTAATAAAATAACTGTCAGCTTCTTCCCAGGAGCACATATGCTTCTTGAATAGCAAGAAAATTTGTTAGAGAAGCTATTGGAAGCCCCATCTTCGCAAAAGTCCGGCGGCTCAACGGGGCTCCCGTGCGTTAACAGGGAAGAGCAGAGTGCTGGTTTTAAAGGTTAGTCAGCCAGAAATGATCGCGTACGTCCAGGCTCTGCAGCGGATTCCCCTCCGGGGAAATATGCTCCTTCAGAGATGGTCTGAGGAGGAGGGCAGCCCGCCCTGGCTGCCTCCCTGGCGCTCGGACACAATGGAGCAGAGGAGCGTGGCGTTCGGCCCAAAGCCCTGCCGGACAGAGTTGCAGGGCAGAGGCATCAAGGGTTTTGTTATGTGTATTTTTACTGATCTGCACCTTAATTTGCCTGTCACATTCACTTTGTTTGTGAAGCCAACTGGAGCTGCAGAGCTGGCACTGCCTAAAAATCAGTAGCATGTCATCGTTTGAATCACCCTTTGGAAATACCTTCCCTCTCAAACTGTCAATCCCTGGAGCTCACAGTACTTTTGAGACACCCACAGAAAGAAAGGAGGAGGTGCTGGGAACATGGTTTGCAGTTTCAGATGTTGAAATCTTTCAGTTTTAGATCTGTACACAGTGTTCTGCAGCCTGACTCCGTTACCAGGTACGACACAGTACACCCATTTCAGTTTGTTTGTGACCCTTCCTACCCAGAAACAAACAAACAAAGAGAAGCAAATGTTAGAAATCCCTTATCAATAAAAAACCCTTCATCATGATCATACATAGGAAAAAGATAAGTGGTCTGTTACCAGTATTATAATCTTTGGGCTTTAGTTTTTTTCTTCTTTTTCTTTTTTTTTTTAAAAATCTATCACTTAGCTTGAGAACTCCTTTAGGCTTGTGACCTGCACTGCTGGTATCTCAGGGGTGCTTTTTAGGAGGGCTGCAAAAGGCAGCTAGGAAATCTGTGGGTGTTATTAGGTTTGTGTAGCCTGCCACGGGTCTGCACTTCTCCTGGAACGTGCCTAGGGACCAGCTAATTGGAAACCAGTTGAAAAATCACTGTCACAAAGTAATACTTGTTTTTTATGGGAGATGCTGTTTAAGCTTTCCCTTGAGGCCTTGCAGTGGTAATTCTTCTGCCTGTGTTTTTTCTTACACCAACGCTACTCTATGGCATTAGTAATGGTGTTATTCATATGCACAAGTGATCTGAAGGCTGCACTAATCTAGTGCAAAATGTAGAAAATATACAAATCCTGTTCACCTGGAAGAAAAGAACCTGGATGTGAGGTGCAGTGCAGGCAGAAGAAAAAAGTTGAATATTGCAAATTCTGGCTTTAGGCTTATTGATTATGCTCATTTCACAAGTTTTCATCCTGATACCTTGCAGATGGGTCAAAGGTGTCTTTACAAATAAGCTGTATTAAAGTGAGCTCTATTTGCAGTAGCTCTTGAGGCTTTTGGTTACACAGGACATCTAAAAGCATAGTGTGAGCAATTCTTCCTTTGACAGTTACACTTGAAAAAGCAAGAGGAGGCGAGCGGGTGAGTCTGAAAGAGATAAGGGAATAATGAAGAGACATCACGCAGGAGCAGGGCACACAGCACAGGTATAAAACCTGGCTCTGGTGTAGCCGGTCGTAGCATTCACTGTAGTGTAGAGTCAGCTACTACCGTGCCAGAGAGTTTGTCAGACTCTTGAGGAGCCTGGACCAGCATCTTAAACCGCAGCGGCCGTGTGAGGTCTGTGAACGCCTTCACGCAAGATCCTGGGCTGTTCATACTCTCCCTCTTCCCTTGCTGTGTAGCTGAGGGCCCACTGCACGGCTGCTGTCTGTGCGCTGAAGAGGCCCTGGGCAGGACAGATCAGTAAAAAAGCAGTTTTCTCTTTCTCTTGTGATGAACCCCCTGTTTTATCCCTACTGTTGCTAACGCAGATGCTGCTTCTGCCGCTCCTCCTCCCCACCCTGAAGCCCCTGCAAAAGTACAGAGCGTGGAGGACTTTGTTCCCGACGACAGCCTGGACCACAGCTTTCTGGAAGACCCAGCCCCACAGAAGAGCAAAGGGAAAGCGCAGACTAAACACCGTGTCAATAGTGAAAGGTAAGGAGAGGAGGACGGAGGAAGGGTGGGACAGGGACACAGCTGGCTGTGCGGTCGGAAGGATGAGTTGGGCCTGACTAGCCTGTTTCAACTGTTCAGCAAGCGATTGCGGAGCAATGAGCTGCCCCTGAGCCTGTCTGGCCGTGGTACAGTCAGTCGTAGCATTCACCATTTCACATGTAATGACCCACACTGCTCCCTGGGAATGAGGAACAGTGGTACCAGCTGGTTATCACCTTCCTGGGTTTGCTGTCTTGCTTTCATGCTCAGTGTTAAACCGCTGGGATGCTTTGGGTCACAAAGGGACTTTCCTTGTGGCCAAATGGGCTGAAACGTTTGAGATGCTTTCCTTCTGGAATATATTTCACCTTGCAGGGATATTATATCTTGCCTCACAAATACTTCTGCAGAGGCCCAGAGCATGGCCAGGCTCCTTTGTGGCCTGGTACTGTTATTTCTGAGGCGTTAGAAAGGAGTTTGTATTTGTTGGAGAGCACATGGGGTACTCCATGGCTCGATGGCATTCTGAAAGGAAGGATGGAGAGGTTTGCGCTCACTTGGAAGTGTCACTGCACCCATCTGCCTGCAGATTCCAGAAAGTCTTGCCCTCCTTTTTTATTTTGATCATTTCTAATGTTCCTTCCAGCATTTTCTCTCTGAATTGGAGAGATACGGGTTTGATGGGAGGACTGTTCAGTGGATAAGGAGTTGGCTAGATCACAGAATCACAGAATGTCTTAGGCTGGAAGGTAATTTAGAGATCATCTGATTCAACCTCCCTGCCATTGGCAGAGATACCCTTAACTAGATCAGGTTACTCAAGGTCTCATCCAACCTGACCTTGAATATCTCCAGGGAGGGGGCATGCACAACC